TTAGGCTTATGAGATTAACTATTTATTGCCTTTGTTGTGTGCCTTTGTGGTTTTTATATCCCTTATAACCCTACAAGTGGTACCCAAACATATTACCATCCAATTGAATTTTTGCAAATCGGTTTTGATATCAACAAAATAAAATTTTAAGATCTTTAGGATACCATCTTCCCATGTATATTTGAAATATTTATCATCGAAGACACAAGGTGACATAAAATTTTCTTTCAATATTGGGAATTAAATAGACATCCTTTAGAGTAGGAATGGTGCCATCAAACATCTTCATATGAATTGAGCCAATGCCTTTAATTTAGCATTGTGAATCGTCAAATAAAGAATAGACCATGTGTTGCAGTTAGCTGATTTCTCTTCATCTTTATTTCTTTATTTTTATTTTCTTTATTTTCAAATTATAATACTCCAAAATATCATAACCATCTTTGTGACGATATACGAAACTTTTGTCATTGCATTTGCCTCAAGATTTTGGTTGTCATTTCTTCCCTAGAGAACATCTTTCTTTAGAATGTCCTTGAACTGACAACCTTTCATTTCCGAGCTACTAGACTCTTTTGAAGATACCATATTGTTTATCTTTTCTTTTGAGTATAAAATTTCATAAACTCCATTCAAAGGAAGAGAGTCATTGTTACAAAGAATTGCATCCCTTTGGGCTTAATATTGGGTTTTTAAATGTAAAAAAAATGTAATTATAAAATTTTAAATGTAAAAAAAATTATTTATTTGGATTCAAATGGAAATAGTCAATCTTGAACGAAATTTAAAAAAACGATGTTTGATTTGGATCAAAAAAATGCAGGGTCAAAATTGAAAAAAATAACTAAAAACATAGTCCAAAAATTGAAAAAATTGAAAACTTAGTGTCTCTTGTACTATTTTTTAAATTGTTTTTGACATATTATCATGCGTCGTTAGCGCCAAATAACCAAATATTGTCATGTTAATATGTCACAAGACTTGATACTACAAGTCAAGATGTCATGTTAGTAGCGTACTAGATTGACCAATTAAATGGTCAGTATTGCAAAAAATTAGAAAACTTAGGTGGCATTTGGTTCACTGGAATCCTTAGGAGTTACACAGTTCCACTAAATTCTCATGTTTGGTTCAGAATTTTATAATGAATTGGATTCCTAAATGAGGTGAACTTTCCATAAAATGAGGGAAAGTCCATTTCATCAAAATAGGATGGAATTAAATCCTTTTCATGTGGGAAAGTTTAAGATTACCATAATAACATTTTTTCGCCACCATTATCTCCGCCACTTCGACCACCACCATCGTCACCACCTCCACCACCATCGTCGCCACCCATCGCCACCATCACTCACCACCCACCACCGACCCCTCCATCATAACCTCCCATCGCCACTACTTGTAACAACCCGTTATTTCAAGACAAAAATAAATATTAAATAAACTTGATTGGTATGAATGAAATGGTAGATGTCGTAACAAGGTTTCCGAAAATATAAAAAACACTAATATCCGAGTTATAACGAAGAAGTTATGACCAATCGAAGATCCGTGACAAAACCGACAAAACGTTGTGTGTCATAAAAAGTGAGTTTACAATAAAATGTTTTTTAGCCTCAACATTCTAAATGAAAGTTGTAGAATACATTAAACTGAGAGTTTACATAAAAAGAACGTCCAAATCTGACTTCGTATGAGGAAGTTATGATTTTTCTAAGTTTCGACACAACAATGTACAACCCAAAATTCGAAATATAGATCGAGCGATTTTTAGCCAACATAACCTAAACGAGAATCAAAGATCTCGTCAATAGTAGTTCAATGGTAAAAAGACAGACGAAAAAGGATGCCGGATGAAGAAGTTATGAATTTTTAACGGACTTTTCCTGTCTCGGTCTGTTAAAAATTTAACTTTAAAAATATAGTCAAAATTAGCTGACGGAGTGTAAACGAAAGTTGTAGAGCATGGTCTCACCTACGCGTGGATATAAAGAACATCAAAAACGGAGATCGTATGCGAAAGATACAAATTTTTGAAGTTTGGAAAATAGAAGTATGCCCCGCGTACAAGAGTATGCCCAACGTACTCGGAAACTACACCTCGGATTGACCACGTTGCCCTTACCCTCGCATGCGACATGTGTCAGACACGTCCTCGACTTCGGATATGATCAAAGGGACTACGCCCAACGTACAAGAAGATTACGGCCAACGTAACCCCACTAGCTTTGATGCGTATCTCGTAGCCTTGCCACGACCGAAGATCGGATAAGACTCAAACCAGTACGCCCCGCGTACGAGATGTACGCCCAACGTACTGAGGTTTTCAGTTGTACGCCCAACGTACATGAATATTATGTGCAGCGTAATTCGAGACCTCAGCCTCCTAGAAATAGGATGTGAGGCTTCCGAGTTTTGTTTTCAAAATTCAAAACCTCTCTCCTCTTAAACACTCATTTAAGCCTCTCTAAACCCTACGAAGTCCCAGGAACCTCCCTACCACCTGAAGCAAGCCCCGAAGTCGTCAATCTTTTAGCTGAAACTTTGCCCGTGTGAAGCCGTCGTTTCATCAAATACTCTTAGTTTCATCAAGAAAAATCATTTCTAGAAACGAAGTGCTTCCCAAATCACCACTTATCAAGTGACTTCATACCCCCATATTTTTCCAAGCTTTTCAATGTTTTTTTTTTTTTTTTTTTTTTTTTTTGGGGGGGGGGGGGGGGGGGGGGAATACAAGTAAAACACAAGAAATTGTGTGTTTTAAAATATAATTTACTTATTATGTTTTTATTACCAATAATATGCATTTAAACGTGAAACTTGTTAAAACATGGAAATAAAGTTATAAACTATAATAGGTATAGTTTATGGATCATATGAACTATTTTACAAAGTTAAGGTTAAAACATGGAAATAAACTTATAAACTATTGTAGGTATAGTTTATAGAACAAAGGAATTATTTTACAAAGTTGCATGTTATTTACTAAAAGGTTTTTCACTTTATGTAAACTAGTTAATTCATGATTGTGAACCGCTTGATGTACCAAACATGGTACCCGTTAAGGAACCTAATTATAATCAGAGCGTGAGTTTGTGTATAGATCTATACGGGACCAAAAATCCCGCGCCCCGAGTATTAACTACATTCGTTTTGGGTGACAAACACTACAAGAAAAACAGCCTTTTACGACGCGCAATGCGTGTCGTAAAACGCTCAGACGACGCGCAAATGCATGTCAAGGAAGGCCCTGTCATAACGAGAGACGACACGCTTTTGCGCGTCGTCTATTTACGACGCACATTTATGACGCACATTTATGACATACATTTACGACGCGCAGTTATGACGTGTTTATGACACGCAATGCGTATCAAGGAAGCCCCTGTCATAAATGAAGATGACACGCATTTGCGTGTCATAAACTTCAGTGACCATTTACGATATGCATTTACGACGCGTCTTTACAACGTGAATACACCTAATAATAAAAACAAATATATACCAAAAACATTCACTTTCATTTAAATGTCAAACAAGTTACCTAGCATTACATGTCAAACAACACTACATGTCAAGAAAAATAACACTTAAAAAGGATGCTTTTTCCTCCATTTGGAGCACCCACTATTCCTATATATCAGCAACCAACTTTAGGTCCAATTCCTATCACCTGTAAAAGAACAACATTGTAAAAGAATAAATCACATAACCATCCAAACCTTCTCTTAACTCCAAATTAATAAATAATATGCTATGCATAATCAATGTAAAATGTCAATCACTTTACTTTTAGCCTAACATACACATACTTTCATCATTTCTTCTTATTTCACCATTATTCTACTATAAATGTACATTGAAAACTACCCTCTCTCTCTCTCATCCAACTATTTACAAAACAATTTTGTGGAAAAATAAAAAACGAGACTACAATTTCTAATAAGAAAAAACTTCAAATGTGACTTTAAGGATGTTATAATCAAAAGAACACATAAACACTCTTTGAACCAAAAAAATGAAATCATACCTTCGTTTCCACTTCCGAGCATACTTTTTAATCTCGGAATTGTCCCCATCAACAATTAAATCCGACAATCCGCTCTCTTGAGATGAGATGTTTGGGTTTGGGTTGTTTTTTTGACAAACTTTGCTTCCTCTTTGATATTCTATTATTGCCTTTCATATCACCATCATCTTGATCTTCATCAATCAATTCCAATACTTTTTGAGTAGGATTTACCTTTCTTGCCCTCCTAGATCTAATTCTCGGAACAGCACTGCAATTTCACACAAAACTTCATCCAATTTCACACAAAACTTCATCATCGCCAATAACTTACTTCTTCTAACTAGTATTAAATAATACAATATATGTAAATAAATGTACAATTTTAACTCTATGCTATTTTCATTATTACAAAAGTAGTCTCATTAAACCCAAAATAAAATCATGATTATATATATATATATATATATATATATATATATATATATATATATAGATATATATATATATATATATATATATATATATGTACATTCTTTAGCTTATGGAAAAAAATGTACTATAATCAAAATCATGATTTTCTTCAGAATATTTGTTTCATTAAAACTAACATAAATAAAAATAGGTTTAAATGTGACTTGGCGGAATGAATAAAACACTGCTAGGAAATGAAAATTAACAAAATGGAAGGAATCATCCATTCCATTTTAGTTCCTAATTCAAAACAAACAAGTTTTTTCATTCCAAAGGAATGAAGCATTCTATTCCTTCTCTGATTTCATGGGACAAGAGTATTGGATCACGGAGATTGAAAAGAGCATACCCAAATAAGGATTCATGTTCACATTGCTGTCCCATAAACTGCCCTCCATACACTTTAGCAGATTTTGGATACACTACACATCAGTCACCTTTAAAAGTTGCAAGGTTAGGATCAACGACATGTTGCAATGACAGAACTGGCGATGTGGAAGGAACCAATAGTGCAATGTCAAACCTGCAATGGTCAAAACAGTAGAAGAGATTGATTTCCTCTGGATTTGAAGAGAAACTAACTTCTGTCATGCAATCCAATATAAAAATTTACTCATAGCTGCGGAATGAAACTAGTCAAAATTAGTAGAAACTATGACTAAATGCAATTTAATACATGTTTGTTTTGTTTAAGATCTTTCTGCATTGTTTTTTCTATATATATAAAAAAACTAAAAACTATAGAGGAATTCGAGGACTTAATACCAAGTTTTGACTCATGAAGATCTAAAAATCACTATCTTGATCTATATGGACAGAGTCACAAGTTAACACTCAGGTACCAAAAAAAATATAGCACTCGTGTAAATCAATGAACATGTGCAATTTGCGTATTTTATGTGACGCGTACCAAAACCTCAAAGTAACCTTCAGGTGGAGGTGTCACACCTTCTGCTCCCATAACTGGTTCTGCAATAAATGCAGCAATCTGAAATAATAATAATAAAAATAATTAAAAAAATATGTGGTATCATTAAAAATAACCACCAATGATATTTGAGTAACAGATATATCTTTTCAAATTACCGTTTCTGGTCCCTCTTTGAGAATTAGATTTTCCAAGCTGGTTGCTAATCTTGTGGAAAACTGCTCCTCTGTTTCACCTATATTTAATTTATAGAACTCATAAATGATTAAGTAGATAAAAAAAAATGATAAATTTATAGAAAAAGAGAAACCTGGAAGATGGTATCTCCATTAATGGGGACAATCAGTACGCAAAAAAAAAAAACGGAGTAGGCAGATCAAATTTCTGATGCAATGCTCGAAGACTTCAAAATATTAAAAAAAAAATTGAGAAGAATAAACAATAAAGTTTTTAAATATTCAGTTGAATATAGAAAAAGATTACCCAGAAAGACTAGCGGATATGAGAGTTGAACCATGGTATCTGTAAATACATAAAATCAAATTAAAAAAATGAATCTTTTTGGAAGAAATAGAAGCATATGATAAAATTTTTGAGATATAATATTACGATTTAGATCTAGCAATGAATTTCTTCTTGTTTGGCCTTCCAAGTGCATTGTTATAATACCATACAAGTTTCACCTATAAAAAAATATAAAATTGTTGAGAGAAGTAAGATTATATAAAATTATGAATTGACTTATACACCATAAGCAAACCCGAGTGTCATTAGCTTCAGAGCCACTGTTTGTGAAAAAGACTTTTTCATTTTACTTGTTGTAAACATTTCAAGTTCTTTTGCAAGATCCTAAATATAATACAAAAAAAGAAAACAGTTTTAACTTTTAACTTTTAATATACTCAAATTAATCCAATTTTAATAAATAATTAAATTTCTAAATACCAGAGAGGGTTTTGTGATAAGATTCCAAAAGGAGTGGTAGAAAGGTAAAGTATTTAGCTGTTTAGTTGCAGCATCAACAAGCCTTGATTCACTCCCCCTAAAAGTTACAAAAAGAAATAGAAAAAACAAACAATTTTCAGAAACTGTTTAATCCAGAAAAGGGTTTTGTGTATACTAAAGCTGTGCAACATAAACCAACAAGAGAATCAAGATACTTTTTCCCATTGATGTCATACACATATGAACCCTATCATAACAAGAATCAAACCTTTTTCACAATAGACATAGAATATACAAAATTCCAATACTTTTAAATGTTAATAATCTTTACCTCAGATTTGTCTATTACCAATGGATGCAATTCATCAGTCTGCCATCCAACAGTGAAAGGAGCCAACATGTCATGTCCCTTATACCTAATATTGGAATAGAAGCAATCAGAAAACAATTTTTTTTAACGAAATCCAATATTTTGAGGCATAGTGTTAAAGATGCATTGCTATAACATACCCCTTACGATCAACTGCAGAATCATCAGTTTGTACAGCTTCTATACTAGTCCACCTCACCATCACACTTCTAGAACCTCCAACATTTTTTCTGTGTGAACCAATCTATAACATGTAGCATTTTATTAAATTCAAATCATTAGAGTTGTAATCGTAAAGCCTGTTTTCATCTGAGTGTCAGTAACTACAAGTCACATGAAGCAATGGAAAAAAAAGTAAGTGGTAAATACGGTATGAACTATGAAAACAAACAAGTTATAAACTTTCACACTTTTGCAATGCTAAACATTTAATAGCTTCTCTATTTATTTAGATAAACAGGTCCCGCGCCCCAAGGAAATTTCAATGTTTCATAAGCTATTAGGTTTAATTATGTTGGAGAATATCAAATCTAGCCGATATCAGATTAGCAGAATACTAATTTTAACAAGGATCTGTGAGAATGATTTCCCTTGAATATTATTGAAGTATTGAAACAAATATATATACAATTACAACATGAATAAAAGGAAACAGAATAACTAATTTACATAAGAGATTTATTCCTATTTATTCCTAATACTGTGAGTGTAAACCTACTTGGGTGTGAACCTGCCATGAGTAGCTGTACCACCCTCTTTAGTTGACAAATGAATCCCTCCTTTGTTGACAATAAGAACTCAAATGGCAACTTCGTATGTTCACATAATGAACACAATAAATGGTAGCAGTAGTAATTGTAGGCTTGTTTAAGTATAAATAGAGGCTCTAACCTCAGTTGTAAGACACCACAAAACAGAGAGTGTAGTGTGTAATACTTAGAGTGAGTATTAGAGGGTTGTTTTTTTTTCTTGTAATATTGAGCGTGTAAGCTCTTCTCTTTTGTTCTAGTTCTGAATAAAAGTGTGTTTCAACCCCAACAAGTGGTATCAGAGCTTGGTTAAGCTCCGGGGGAAGCATTCTCTGTTTTTTGGTCTCAAAAACAATTTCGGAGTACACCGTTGGAAAGGTCTCGTTCTGAGGATTCCGAAAATATATTTTTTTTGAATTTTTTGACCACCGGAAGGCCTCCAAATCACCGGTCAAAGTTGGTCATATCTGCCGGAAAAGTCGCCGGAAAAACCAGGGTTCGCCGGAGAAGACGGTACTATAGCAGTGACATCAGCAGTGACGTCAGCAGCTGACCAAAGTTCTGGAAATTGTAGTTTAGTCCCTGTTCTTCCGGAGAGTGCAATTTAGCCCCTGTTTTTCAGAAAAATTGCAATTTTGGTACCGTTTTTCAGAAAAATTTCAATTTAGCCCCTGTTTTACTTCTGTAAAAGTTCTGTTTGCCCCCTGAACTTCTGAAAAGTTCATATTGGTCCCCGTACTTCAAAAAAAAAAAAATTATTTTTACTCGTGTATGCCCAAGTATATGCCAAGAATGACTACACCAACCTCGTCATCTTCTCAAGCCGGAGTTGAAAGTTTTCAAAGGACCGGGAAAGACGGTAGCGTTACGTTATACTATCCAATGCTCACGAAGATGAACTACGCGGTGTGGGCCATAAAAATGCGAGTGAATTTACAAGCACAAGGAGTATGGGATGTAATTAAAAATGCAGAAACGGACGAACGTAAAGATCGGATGGCTCTTGCGGCTATTTATCAAGCAATTCCAGAGGACGTACTTCTGATGTTAGCTGAGAAGGACACAGCTAAAGAAGCATGGGAAACGCTCAAGATGATGCACATGGGAGCCGATCGGGTCAAGGAGGCTAAAGCTCAAACCTTGAGAAGTGACTTCGAGGTGATCCGGATGAAAGACAGTGAATCGGTAGATGATTTTTCCATGAGATTGAATACTATCGTAACCGGTATTCGATCTCTTGGTGAAAAGATTGAAGAAATTATGGTTGTGAAGAAGTTTTTGCGAGCCGTACCGATACGATTTATACAAATCGTAACATCGATCGAGCAATTCGGAGATTTGAAGAATATGACGGTGGAAGAAGTTGTGGGTCGTCTTAAGACCCATGAAGAGAGACTTCGAAGCTATGGAGAAAAAGAAGAAGGACCTTCTCTATTGCTTACACATGCCGAGTGGGCATCTCGTTCGAAGCAAACTGGCGAGAGAAACTCGTCAAACACTTCAAGAGGACGAGGAGGACATGGTAACCGAGGTTGGGGACGAGGCCGAGGTAGTGGACGTGGCCAAGGAGGTGGTCGCGAGTACAATACAAATCGGAATGACCATAATCCTTCTCGAAAGGATAAAAGTAAAATCAAATGCTTTACTTGTGAACAATTTGGTCATTATGCTTCGGAGTGTCCAAACAAGAATCGAGGTGAGGAGGCAAACCTCACTCAAGCCAATGAAGAAGAGAGCCTATTTTAATGATGGCAACCTCACAAGAATATGCACACAAAAAAGTGTCTCTAAGAGAGAAGATTTGTGTTAATCTTCTTGCATCGGGAGAAAGTCGAGTCGAGTCTGAGGTATGGTATCTCGACAACGGTGCTAGCAATCACATGACTGGAGACCGCTCAAAGTTTCGGGAACTAGATGAGCACGTTACGGGCCATGTGAAATTTGGGGATGGTTCGACCGTCGCTATTTTGGGAAAAGGGTCGATTTTATTCGATAGCAAAAATGGCGACCAAAGACTCCTTAATGAGGTATATTTCATTCCAAGTCTAAAAAACAATATTATTAGTCTTGGACAAATGACGGAGGAAGGGAGTCGGGTCATAATGGATGGGTCGGATCTGACATTGTTTGACAGAAACAAAACTCTACTTTTGAGAGTTAAACGATCCCCAAACCGGTTATATAAAACTCCTTTAAGGACCGGTAGACCGACTTGTCTTTTAGCAATAAAAGACGAACCAGCTTGGATATGGCATTCTAGACTCGGTCATGTTAACTTTCTCGCCTTAAAGAAGTTGTCCGAAAAGAATATGGCAATCGGAGTCCCAAAGATTGAGCACCCAAACCAAGTATGTGAAGGGTGCGTTCTTTCCAAACAAACCCGAATTCCTTTCCCGGATCATGCAGTTTTTCGAGCTCAAAAACCTCTACAACTTGTTCATGCGGACTTATGTGGTCCGATCACACCTACGTCTGTTGGAGGGAGTAAATATTTTCTCCTTTTAGTAGACGATTTTAGCCGGTGGATGTGGGTTTACATGCTATCGGAGAAGTCTCAAGCCTTGAGCGCTTTCAAACGGTTCAAGTTGATGGTTGAAAAGAATTCGGGTTATCAAATAAAGACACTTCGAACGGACCGAGGGGGAGAGTTCACTTCAAAAGAATTCTCATTATTTTATGAAGAAAATGGTATTCAAAGGCATCTTACGACACCATATTCGCCTCAACAGAACGGAGTTGTAGAAAGGCGAAATCGGACTGTTATGGACATGGCAAGAAGTCTGCTCAAAGGTAGAAATGTTCCGGGAGAGTTTTGGGGAGAAGCGGTTAGACATGCAGTTTATCTTCTCAACCGCCTGCCAACAAAAGTACTTCCCGACAAGACGCCTTATGAAACATGGTTTGGCAAAAAGCCCACCCTTGAACATCTAAAAGTTTTTGGTTGTGTTGCTTTTGCTAAACTTGTAGGTGGTCACTTGAAGAAGCTTGATGATCGAAGTAAGAAGATGGTGTATTTAGGTGTGGAAGATGGAACTAAAGGCAACCGTTTGTTTGATCCGCAAGACCAAAAGTTGCGAGTTAGTCGCGATGTTGTTTTTGACGAAAAAGAAGAATGGAATTGGTACAAAAACAAAGAAGAAGAGATGGCGACTCCTAAGACCTTTAACATAATTGAACCACAACCCCAAATACACCTCGAAACACCTCAAAATGACCCCGAAATCAATCTGGAATAACCAAACAGTCCAGGAATCGATGCTATCCAAGTTGGACAACCATATGCTGAATTTGACGAGCCTGAACCAGCTCCACATACTCCTGTCTCAGCCCCGTTTTCTTCAACCTCGCCTCATATGGAAAGCCCTTCTAGTGAGATTGGGCCAAGGGGATTGCGTCCGTTAACCGATATTTATTCTGAAACCGAAAATGTGTTCCTTGAACCCGGAGAATTGTTGATGATTGCAGCGGATCAACCCTTGAATTTTAAAGAGGCGGTAACCTCTAAGGCATGGCAGGAGGCTATGCAAACAGAGTTGGATGCAATCGAGAAGAACAAGACATGGCAACTTACCGATTTGCCATCCGGACACAAAGCAATCGGTTTGAAATGGGTGTTTAAAGTGAAGAAAGACAACTTGGGAAAAGTGGTGAAGCATAAAGCTCGACTTGTAGCAAAAGGATTTGTACAAAAGGAAGGAGTCGACTTTGATGAAGTTTTTGCACCGGTAGCACGACTTGACACCGTAAGGCTCATTCTTGCCTTAGCAGCTCAACATGGGTGGGTTGTCCACCATCTCGATGTCAAATCGGCTTTTCTCAATGGAGATCTCAAAGAGGAGGTTTATGTCACCCAACCAGAAGGATATGTTGATAAAGCAAACAGTCACAAGGTGTTCAAGCTTTATAAAGCTCTTTATGGTCTACGACAAGCTCCTCGAGCTTGGAACATTCGTTTGGATAAAAGCTTAAAAAGGCTTGGTTTAACAAAAAGTTCACAAGACCCAGCTGTTTACAAAAGGAACTCAAAAGACAAAATTTTTATTGTTGGTGTCTATGTTGATGACTTGATCATTACCGGGTCGAACACTAATGATGTTGTCGAATTCAAAGAACAAATGAAGAAAGAATTCGAAATGAGTGACTTGGGATTACTTTCTTACTACCTTGGAATCGAAGTTTCGCAAAAGAAGTGGGGAATATCTTTGCGACAAACGGCTTATGCAAAGAAGATTTTAGAGCAATTTGGGTTGCTGGATTGCAATCCGACAACGTCACCAATGGAACCTAAGTTGAAGGTTAAGAAGGATGAAGATGGTGAAAAAGTTGATCCAACTGAATATAGGCGAGTGGTAGGTTGTTTGAGGTACTTGACTCACACTCGACCAGACCTGTCATTTTCGGTTGGAATTGCAAGTCGTTTCATGGAGGAACCAACCACTTTGCATTTCCAAGT